GGCAGGGCAGGCCTGAGGAGCCAGGGGGCCATTTAATCTGCCGCTAGAAACCTGTGCACACCCCCGCCTGGCCAGCTTACTTCCTCTTGGCAACTGCACAACAGAAAAGCACTCTGAGAGGAAACAGATCTCTCAGGTCATCTTTATGCCCTGAGGGACCAGATCCCAGGAGGGTGCGTCCTCGTGGAAAGGTACAGTTGGGCTGTAGGTTTGGCCTCTGCTTTAGAGGCAAAAGCTTGGAGTGGGGCAGGCAGGACAGTTATTCTAACTCTGTATGTTATTTCCAAAATGGTTATGGCAAGGAGACTACAGTGAAAGGTATTCAGAGGACACAGCATGGAAGCAAAACCAGGAGACCGTGCTTGCTCCCCCAGCCACCCCAGCACTGATGCTCCTCCTGTCGCAACTGGGCTCAGTCTCTGCTCAGTGGAGGGCTGGGTCTGAGCCCCCAGGGCCCTCCCTCAATGAGGCTGCTGCTGATATCTGAGAAGGGTAGGAGGGAGGATAGGTGAGGCCAAGGATGTAGGGGTGGGAGGGAGGCATGGAGCACAGTCTGATGCTGTCTGCACAGGCTTAGAGACAGCCTGTGGTTCCGAAGCTAATGGCCCACAGCAGGGTCCCCTCCACCTGTACACACCAGTTAACCTAGTACTTATCCCACTCTGCCCACGTTTGCCCTTCTGTCTAGTTAAGGGGGAAGGTCACCCTCCAGATACACTTTATGGTTAAGGAAATGCCATCAGAATCCCATTCATGCTTTATCACCTTCACCCAGCTCCACCTATGTGAGGTCAAGTCAGCCTACCTGCACTGGTCTCCTTCCTGCCCCACTCACACACACCATGTTAAGCTGTAATAAAGCAATAAGGAAATTATCAGACGCCGTAGTGAAGACGACGGGAGGGCAGTCATCCATGGGCAAGGGGCTTCAAGAAACTTGAAGGAGACAAGAGGTGGATGGGGAACAAAGACCTGCAAGCACAGAAGGGGAAGCCCCAGCTTCAAACAAAACTGTCCCTGGACAGCTAGAGCTGATAGGGAGCAGGTCTTCATGGCAGAGCCTGGCTGGGGCTTGAAGCCAGAAACACCACCTACCATAGAAGGTAGGGTGCTAACAATGGGGATGGCAGAAAGAACCACTTAGGATGGGCCCACCATCTCCATCCTCCAGCCCCTACCTGGTCTAAGATCTTAGAGCCAAGCCAAAAAAAAAAAAGAAAAAAGGCTCGCCCTTAAAGACATTGGCCCTTGTGAACATGCAACAAGTATCAGAATGCCGGGTCCCTTAACCTGTTCTTAGTGCTGTGTTTATACCATAATTGGGGGGCAAATAGAGAGGGGTTCCTAATCACCAAAAAAATGAGAGTACTGTGCTGGGTCTTCACTCATGCAGGTGGCCTACCGTCCAGTGAACCACAGGATAGGACCTACCTATGCACAGTACAGGCAGGAAGTCACCGTCGTGGGCAACAGGTCCTCATCCCAGCAGATGCCATATCCATCACACCACATGGTTTGGGCACCATACGCCAAACCAGCAGAGCCTGTCCAACGAGCCCAGGGCTTCCACACCAACAAATCTCACTAGCCACAGCCCATTAGCCACACTGGGAGACTCTGCTTTCCTCTGATAAGATAGAGCTTGCCATCTTTGGCTTCAAAAGTCCTATCCCTGTTTTCTTCCCGAGAATCTCATCCTTAGAGCATACTGGGCTCTCCACTGGAGCAGGTTCCCTACTTGGCCATTAGAATTTTCCAAATTCTTTGTTCTCCAGTAATTTTTCTTTCTAATATGCATAAAGCCTTGAGATGCTGGGCCATGGTAGATTACGAAGCTCCCAGTTCATTATCACAAGTGAAAAATTATACGATATAAACTATAAATTCTTCCATATTTCCGAAAGAAGACCACGTGTTTGAAGCCTTTCATCTCTAGGGTTTGTCAAACACGATCCTATCAGGTGTTAGAGCAGTATATGCACATGTGTACAAGTGTTTTAACAGAGGTGTTTCCAACGAACTCTTACATGGAAGCCGGATATGCAGAACTCATTAGCAAGAAGCTGCCATGGCAGAGCAAGGAAGGGGAGCCAAGGCCCCATCTGCTCAGCTCACCCTGTTTCCCTCCTCCCAACCCCCATTACTTCCTAAAATGACATTTCCAGGAAGCACAACGGAACAACCCCAACTCACAACAATTATATAACTATATGGGGGAAAAGTGAATATTTTTCCTTTGTAAATTAACTGAGCAATCCTGCTTACCTTCACACTTGTAAACCATGGCCAATAAAATCATGAATAGATCCAGGTAGACAGAAGTCAGCCCCGTCGTCCTCCTCTTCCTCCTCCTTCTTCTCCATCATCATTATCACCATCAACCTCATCTACGTTTAATTAGAGTTAACCATAAGCCAGGGCTAAGCGATTGACATATATTCTATCATTCGACACAAACAATGAAGCCATGGAGCCAATATTATTAGTCACATTTTAAAGAACTTGACCAAGGTCTCCTAGTTAGTGGGTGACAAGGGCCGGGAAGTGAGCCCAGGTCTGCTGGACTTTCTCCTTACATGTTGCTCACCACTGGGCTCCACTAGTCCCCATAATAGCTTTATATAGTTTCTGTGTTTTCTGAGTTTTTTACTTTCATAATACGGATATTTTGAGACCCCAAAAAAGACAGATAGGAGGAGAGAGTAGATTCCTTAATTCTGGGAGAAGTTGGCAGGCAGGGATGTTCTAAGTGCCTCATCTGGCCCAGGGTCACCATGGAGTAACCCCTACACATGTCCTAAAGGAAAGACTCAGAAGAAATTCCTCACCCCAAGAGAACTAGCACTCTAATCAGCCAGGTCCATTCATCCTTCTTCAGGTTCTTTGCAGTCATCAGAAATATTAGAAAAGCTTATTGGTCCTGATATACCAAGCACTGTCCTATAACTACACTGAGGAGAGAAAAGCAGGCAGTGTAAGGGAATTAAAATTCCCAATCTACCAAAACAGACCATATCTAAAATCAATAAGTCAATGGACAATAGTATATGCATATGATTTTGGAATATGAAGGAAAATAGTAACAGAAACAGATATAATAATTTTAAATTCTTCTCTGGGAAGCAATGATGGGGGAGGCCAAGAGCTAGAATAGAAGAGAATGTGGCATTTTTATAAACATTTAGCACTGTGTGGCTTTTCAAGTCAACTGCCATTATTTCTCTAATTTGTGGAAAAAAAAAATCACAAAATGAAAGTAATAAAACCTACCCTCCTTAGTGCTCTCCTTTAGCTTAATGTACTCCAGGAAGAAGCTCAGAGAAAATGTGGTGTCATGTGGCTTAAGGAGCCATGCAACTTGGGACAGCAGATGGGAGGTACCTGGTGCCATGGGAAGAGCACTGGATCTTGAATCAGAAGGCCTGGGTTCCAGTCTTGACCTTGGTTCTCCATGCTCTGTGGTCTTGGACAAGGTGCGTTACCTCTCTGAGCCTCTCTACCCCATAGAGGCAGGTATCCAGACCCCATAGAAGCAAGAAGAGGATTAAATGATTTTTATCAGAACCCAGTGATACAAACCAACCTCATAGAGAGGCTGCAAGGCAGAGGGACCTGAGAGGTTTGGGCCAGGTAAGTAAGAGTCCTGGAAAGATGGGACCTAAATAAAAGATACAGGTTTCTCGCCCATGAACCAGGCACTGAGCCTAAACTCAAGTCTCCAGACTTGAGCTGAAATCTCCTCCCTCCCCTATACACCATTCCCAAGTTTCTTTAGACCATGGAGTATGTTTGGGGTTCTGTAGACTCAGAAATGAGGTAAGTGATCCTGATATCAGGCTGCACCCCTCTGAGTGAGGCTCACCCACATCATGAGCCCATCTGACCCTAGCATAGGTCCTCTTGGACAAAATCTTTCCTCAATTCTTTCCAATTAGGAAAAAAAAAACAAGAACAAAAACAAAAACAAAAAAAACACCAAATTACTTTGCCTCAGAATCAAGCCTTAGACCCAAAAGAGAAATTTCCGGCCCTTCCTCCAGGGCAGGGTCCAACTCATCACTGCATCAAGTTTTGTCACAAGTCTGGTCACAGCTGTCTTTTTAGGAAAAGCAGATCTAGCCTTAGAAGAACCATCCCAGTATAGGGCAATTTTTTCCAGCTCCAGACACTTAGAAGAACCCACAGGGGTGGAGGAGCTCATAGCCAGGAGGAGCCTGCCAACTACCCAGTTGCCAAGGGTCCCTTTTCCTCTTCCTCACCCTGGAATCAGAGCCAGCACTGGTTTGGGTGTAAAGAGACCCAATAGATCCATGCTCCCCTGGAACTGCTGTAGGATCTCTTTCTCCTCTCTCCACTTCCTGTGACTAAAGAAACTCAAGTCTCATTCAGACAGCACTATCTTGCTCATATGTCATGGTGTGAAAAGGTAGGAAGAAGCCAAACAAAGCAGCCCTGGGCAGAGAGAACACAAAATCCAGAATGGGTCCAAGGCACTCCCACCAGCATTGGGATGCAATGGGGGCTATAGTCTGAAATCTCCCCAAAGGTCCCAAGGAACACAGCCCCTTCTCTCCATAATCATCACTTAATGGTAAACACATAGACCTGAAGATTCATTCCCCCAAAAATAAAATTTATTCTTTAGCACTTCATACTTGGCAAGGGTTAATTATCATGTCAATTCATACAGTGATTACATCAATAAAATATTTCTGGTTCAGAGAAGAACCCTTGAGACCAACTTTGATTCCATCAGCACAAGGTAAGGGACCAAAGTGGGGGAAGAAGCCAAGGGAGGGTTAAGGGGAATACTTAGCCCGTGATTAAATGTCATTTTCGTTGAGTCAAGCGATTCTCATTTTATTCAAGTGTCCTGGAAATTATGAAGAAGACTCTTTTTTTTTTTTCCATTTTGGGGAATTCTTTTTTGGCCAATGAATAACTCTCAATCACCTGCTTTTAAAAGTATTGTGCAATTTCTAAGTAACCATTTTTAAATATCAGGCTGACACTGCCAATTCCCGCTGGTTAGGGTTTTCTGAATCATCTACAGAAAGACGGCTGTCCTGCTGAGAGCCTGTCTGGGAAACTGGCCTGTATATCCTGTGCCCCAAAGCATCTGTTTCCTCAAAGATGTAGCCAGGGGGCTCAGCGTATGAAGCCAGGCACCTGCTCACATCCTTGGGAGTAAAGCTGATGGTGTATGTGGTCTGGCCCTCCACGGGGATATTTCCTCGGGGGCCCACCCAGGAAGGCTTACAGCTTTTGGTATTGATGGGTGGGTGGGGCACATAGTGGGCCCGCATAGTGGTCAGACAATCCAAGGGCTCAGTGGGAATGTTCAACTGGGGAACAGGCTTGACTAGCTCTGTGCGCATGCCAGGCCACTGCTTGTAGTCGTCCTTGGTGGTAGTGGAGCCTTCAAAGTGGCCACCCTTCTTGACTGAGAGCACCGGTCGGCAGGACTGAGCTGGGGCACCTTTAGGGTATGTGTAATGGGCCTGCACTGTTGTCAGAAGGTCCATCTTTTCTTCAGGAGGGACATAAGTGACAGGAACTTTGGAGAATATCTGGGGTGTGGGCCACGCTTGGTACTTATCTCGAAACTCGGTGGTGTTAGAGAAAGTCGTGTCTAAACCACAGGACCTGGCTGGAGGTTTCAAGCTCTTGGTTGGCTCTCCCATCAGGCCCCGGTAGGATTCTTTGTGGGTGGTAAGGCTTTCAAAGGGGATTTCACAGGGTCTGAACTTCTCTGCTTCATACACAAAGCGCTTCTCCATAGGGTGGGCCACATAGCTCATCTTGTAATTAGTCAGATCCTCCAGCGGTATGTTACAGAGCTTGGGCATGGCCAGAGGCTTACAGCTCATGGTGTTCACTAGGCCCTTTACAGAATAGTCATCCTGGTGTGTAGTTCTACTATCAAACCTGGTTGATGCTGGCCGGTAATGGTGTTCTGGACGAAGCAGCTCTCGTCTTGGTTGGTTCCAAGGTAAGTAATCAGCTGAAAATAAAGCAGAAGTGGTAATTACTTATAAATCAAGGCCACTTAACCTACATGTATTCTAAAGGGCCCCAAAGCCTTAAACCAGTCTCCAGGGAGATGGTCCTTGAAACAAAGGAAGACAAGAGTAGATCCCTTCCACTGCCTCAACCCAGGGCTTCATACTTCAACTTTATAGGATTTGCAAGGGAGTATGCAGAACAGATATATTTATAGGAGTCTCATCATAATCCACAATGCTGCATGCAGGAATTTTAGAGAGTCCACAGCTATGGGAGGATCTAAGGATTTGATTCCAGCTGAGGAGTCAACCACCAGTGTACCTTGAACCAAGAATAGTTCTGTTCCTCTGTGGGGGAGGTGCCCACTCTGAATCAGCACAGAAAGAGAAGATGCACATGGTGTAGTGAGAAAGGGGATTCACAAGCCACCACTGGTGGGCCACCAGCCAAACCAAGTAGACCTCTCTTTTCAACCTTGGGGTGACCATGATTGTATCCCTATAACCCACACATTTAACCCACATAAATCAAACATGCTGCCCCAAGGGAATAAGGCATTGTATTGGCTGGTGAGAGAACAGCAGCTGCCACCTACATAGAGATTATCATGTGATATCTTAATATCTTAATATTCTTAATACTTCCTATATTAACTCATTTAACCTGTGGACAGGTCTAATCAGGTGCTTTCAATATGCCCATTTTATAGATGCAGAAGCAGAGGCACAGAGAACTTAGCGAACTTGCCCAAGGTCACTTGGCTAGAAGTGAAAAAGAAGGGCTACAAATCAGGATCCAAAATCCATACTCTGTACCCACTCCACTATCTGATTCTGACAATCAGAGAACACTATATACCAGCTAACTGTGCTAAGGGATTTCCATACATGCATGACCTTGTTTCATCTTACCATAACCCTTTGTGATGGGTATAATTATCTCTATTTTACAGATTTTAAAGAGCAGGACTCAGAGAGGCTAAGAAACTTTTCTTAAAGTCAAATGGCTAGGAACTTAAGAATTGGAATTTAAACCACATGATTGACTCCAAAGTCATGCTCTTTTGACAGCCTATAATACAGTTAGGAGCACCATACATTTAGAGACAATAAAGGTTAAAGAAAAGACTAATGGGGATCCCTGGGTGGTGCAGCGGTTTAGCGCCTGCCTTTGGCCCAGGGCGCGATCCTGGAGACCCGGGATCAAATCCCACGTCGGGCTCCCGGTGCATGGAGCCTGCTTCTCCCTCTGCCTATGTCTCTGCCTCTTTCTCTCTCACTGTGTGCCTATCATAAATAAATAAAATAAAATAAAAAAATTTTTTTAAAAAATAAGGCTTATTGCTTTAAAAAAAAAGAAGAAAAGACTAATGAAAAATAATCAGAATTTTTGCAGAAGAAGAATTTCAGAATATTTAAAGAATGTAAAGAATCGGCCCATGTATCTAGAGGATATCTGTCTCGAGGGGAACCTTTGCTGTGGGACTGGCACGGCCAAGATAATGTGAGGCCTGTACCCAAATAAAAATCTTCCCTAAAGATGATCTCCATGAATCCTGAGGAGGTTTTGTCTTCAAATTGCACTAGGATCCTTTTAAAGTAACTTGCCCACACAAATCCAAGGACAGCTTTGAAACTAAAAATCAGCAAACTGTACCATCCAAACACCTCGATACTGGTTCCATAATGCTGGGCTCCCACCCAGGTCCTACATTGCCCCCATTGTGTCCATAAATTACCAGATCTAAAAAGTAACCAATATGAAATTCTAGTAAACACTCTGAATCTGAAGGGAGTTTTCCTGCTTACAGCTTTACAAACATTAGAAACAAAAGCAGCTTCTAAGGAGCCTTGGTTATATATAGCCAATATCAGTGGAGTCCATAGGTACACTTTTTAAAAACACCTTTACTGAGATCTAATCTGTACAACACAAAATGCACCATCTTACATTTTTTTAATTATTCAGTAACTTTTACAGAGTTGTACAATCATCACCAAAATCCAGTTATAGAACATTTCTACCCCAAAAATATCAACCAAGCCCACCTACAGTTAATCTTTACTGCCATCACCAGACAACCACACAATCTGCTATTGGTCTCCATAGGTGTGTCTTTTGTGGACATTTTATATAAATATAATGGCACAATATAAAGTGTTTTGCATTTGGCTTTTTTCATGTAACATAACAATCGAGATTCATCCTTGTTGCAGCATGTATTAGTTCACTCCTTTTATTGCCGAATCATATTATATGGATATACCAAATTTTGTTTATTTATTCAACAACTGATGAATATTTGGGTTGTTTCTACTTGCTGGCTATTGGGAAAATTTCTGTTCTGAACAGTCATGGCCAGGTCTTTGTATGAATATATATTTCATTTCTCTTAGGTATATACCAAGAGAAGAATTGCTAGGTTATATGGCAAAACTATTTTTAACTTTTTAAGATAGTACAAACTTTTCCAAAGTGGATGTACCATTTTACATTCTCATCAGCAATTTGTGAAGGTTCTAATTCCTCCACATCTTTATCAACACTTTTTTTTTCATTAGAGACACTATAGTAGGCATTTAGTGGTATCCCACTGCAGCTTAATTTACATTTCCCCAGTAATTTATGATGGTAATAGAAAGAAACACAGGAATATATCCCAAAAGAAAGAACTAGACAAAAACCACACACACAAAAAAGGAACTAAACAAAACAGAGATAAGCAACATGTCAGAGAATTCAAAGTAGAAGTCATATAGATATTCACTGGACCCTAGAGAAGAGTTTTCAGTGAGAACTTAAGAGACAGAAAATATCTTTTAAAAAACTAAAAAGAAACAATCACAGCTGAATACATAACTGAAATTAAAAATATACCATGGGGGCACCTGGGCAGCTCAGTGATTGAGCGTCTGCCTTCGGCTCAGGTGGTGTTCCCGGGGTCTTAGGATTGAGTTCTACATCTCCCTCTTCCTATGTCTCTGCCTATGTCTCTCTGTCTCTCATGAATAAATAAAATCTTTTTTTAAAAAAAGATAAAAAAAATATATACCACAAAGTAATCAACAACAGATTAGTAATCAACAATAGAACAAGTATCCTATTCTTATAGGTCAATAATCTGGAAGGTAGGGTAATGAAAGCAACAAAGCAAAACGCAAAGAGAAAAGAGAATATTTAAAAATGAGGATAAGTTAAGGAACATCTGCAACATCATCGAGCATAATAAAGTTAACACTACTGAAGTCCCAAGAGAAGGGGAGAGAGATATGGGGGTGGAAAATCTATTTGAAGAAATAATAGCTGAAGGTTTTCCTAATCAAGGGAATGAAATAGACATCCCAGGTTCAGGAGGCACTGAGAGCCCCTAACAAGATGAACCCAATGAGGTCCACATCTAGACATATAACAGTTAAAATCTCAAAGATTAAAGATAAAAAATCTTAAGAGCAGCAAGAGAAATCAGTTATATACCAGGGAAACCCCTTAAGATTGTGAGCTGATTTTTCAGCAGAAACTTTGCAGGCCAGCATGGCATGATATATTAAAAGTACTAAAAGGATAAAACCTATAATCAGGAACACTCTACCTAGCAAGGCTATCATTCAGAACTGAAGGAGAAAAAGAATTTCCCAAACAAACAAAAGTTAAGAGTTCATCACCACTAACCTAGACTAACAAGAAAGGTTGAAGTGACTCCTTTAAGTGGAAAGAAAGTGCCACAACTAGAAGAAAATTATGAAAGGAAAAAAATTCACAAGTAAAAGGAAACATAGTAAAGGTAGTATATTAATCACTTATGATGCCAGTATGGAGGTTAAAACACAAAAGTAGTAAGACCAATTATATCCACAAAATACTAGTCAAGGGATACACAAAATAAAAAGGTGTAAAATACGACATCAAGTACATAAAATGTAGGTGGGGAGGCAAAATTTAGTGCTTTTAGAATGTATTCAAACTTAAGTGATCACCAATTTAAAATTGGCCTATAGCCAGCCATACACAGAGGAGGTTGTATATGGACCCAATAATAACCATAAGCCAAAAACCTATAACACACAAAAAAAATAAAGAGTAAGGAATCCAAGCATAGCACTAAAGAAAGAAAGCCATCATGCCACAAGGGAAGAGAACAAACCACAAGAGAAGAAGAAAGGAATGGAATTACAAAAACAACCAGAAAACAATTAACAAAATGGCAATAAGTAGATCCCAGGACCACCAGTGGATTCACAGGTGAATTCCACCAGTTAAGAAGAGCTAATACCTATTCTCAAACTATTCCAAAAAAATAGAAGAGGAAGAAAAGTGTCTAAACACATTCTATGAAGCATTACTCTGATACCAAAACCAGACAAGACACTATGAAAAAACCCTGATGAACACAGGTACAAATATCCTGAACAAAATATTAGCAAGCCACATTCAAAAATACATTAAAAGGATCATTTACCATAATCAACTGGGACTTATTCCAAGGATGTAAGGATGATTCAATATTCACTAATCAGTCAACATGAAACACCATATCAACAAAAAGAATAAAAACCATATAATCATCTCAAAAGACTTAAAAAAAAGTGTTTGACAGTATTCAACATCCATTCATGATAAAAAGAAAATACCTCAACAAAGTGGGTTTAAACAAATGTTGGAGAGGATGAGGAGAAAAGGGAACCCTCTTACACTGTTGGTGGGAATGTGAACTGGTGCAGCCACTCTGGAAAACTGTGTGGAGGTTCCTCAAAGAGTTAAAAATAGACCTGCCCTACGACCCAGCAATTGCACTGTTGGGGATTTACCCCAGAGATTCAGATGCAATGAAACGCCGGGACACCTGCACCCCGATGTTTCTAGCAGCAATGTCCACAATAGCCAAACTGTGGAAGGAGCCTCAGTGTCCACCGAAAGATGAATGGATAAAGAAGATGTGGTCTATGTATACAATGGAATATTACTCAGCCTTTAGAAATGACAAATACCCACCATTTGCTT